AGAACCGCTAGAGGATACATGAAACGAGCCATCCAGAAACTATGTCTATTGATAGAGAAGGAAGATTTCAAATCAACCGACTCGACCGGGCAGAATGTTTAGGATTATTTACATTAGTTTAAGATTATTTTCTGATAATGTCAAGTCTGATCTGGCAATACTGTCTTATCTAAGCTTTATATTCGTCATCTCTCTTTTATCATTCATTTGTCTTTATAATTATCTTTATTTACGCATACCTAAAGTTACGGTATTTTAAATTCCGTTGAACTCCTATAAATGTCGGAGGAGTCGTGTGTACGACTCTCTTCTCTGAGTGTAACTTGGTGCTGATTGTACTCGTCTCTGGTTGGGTGTCAAGCTAACCGTTCACAATCGTTAAAATTCCAATAAAGCATTGAGAACTCTACCCGCTGGTAATTTAATTATTTAACAGCTTATATAAAGAAAATATTAAAATAATTAATATAAAATAAATATGTGGAAACAATGTAGCGTAGTGTTAGTGTATAATAAGTGCATAACATAAAAGAAAAACAACTTAAAATGCAAATATCTCGAAAACTATAAGTTTCCTGCGGCTATAATTATATATATTCTTTATTTGGAAAATCTCCTCTATCCAACCATTTCCCTCTTAACACTGAAATCGTAGGATGGTATACTAAAGTTATATATTTGTGTCACTCCAATTCCACACAAAAAAATTGTACCGTTTCGCACACAGTCTTTGAATGTGAACTTAGTATTTGTCTCTGATATAACCGATGGATCATGCTTTTGTGTTTATAAATCGAATTTAAACTAATCGATAGTTTTTGAACCATCGCAAATTTGTAAGGCCAACTCACTGAAGTCTTCTAAAATTGTATAAGTATAGATTTATACAATGTGGATTGCAAATATGTTTTTAAGATTAATTATTTTGATTAGCACTTACAATCTTGTTATTGGTGTTATGTTTAATATAAAGCCAAATGCTCAAAAGTGTTTAAAGGAAGACATTCAACCAAACCAGTTGGTTAAAGGAGAATATGAAGTGACCACTGTCCCTGGCCAATTGATTGACTATATTGTAAGTCGGTTCGTAACAAGTGCTCATACGCTTCTTTGCTTATAATTTTCTTATTTAAGGCTAGAGATACCAAAGGGCACATATTGTCGAAAGGTGAGCTTATCACGAAAGGAAAATTTACTTTTATGTCTGAGGTCTATGAAACCTACGAAATCTGCTTCATTTCAAAAGTTCCGCCACGTAAGTAGTATTAATATTCGGCTTCAGTATACCCTCCCACCATTTTAGGGCTAATTGGGGTATGGTTAGATAGAGGATCCAGAAAAAGAATATATGTAATAATAGCCGCCGGAAACTTATACTGTCAGCGTCAAAAGAAAGTGTACACCTTTTTCTCATACATTTCACTCTTTATTTCAATATAAAAATATTAAAT